AAATTTTAATCTCAGCATTGTTATAATTCTTCAGTATTACTATAATTTTAACGCTTAGTACTGCATAGTAATTCCTGTATAATTGATTTAATTTTTGCAATAATAATTAACTTATAAATATACCGTGTAAATTAGAATTAAAACGAAATATACTGTATTTCTCTTGCTTTGCTAGCTTGCATAATCTAATACATCCTATATTCGTTAGAACGATTATTTGAACTTGATAATTATAAAAATAGGAACACAGAAGGAGAAGATAATTCTGGAAAGTTTTTTGAATTTCTGAGAATTTTATATACAGTCTTTTAAACCTAAATTTTTATTTAGATGTTGATATCCCGAAACATGTTATCCTTTATAAGAATGATAAAAAAAGGATAATTTCGTACTTCAAAAACTTCTTTGATCCAATCAACGCTGATCTATCTGAACAAATAACTGACGATTTTAACTTGGAGTTTAAGAACCGAGAAGAATTTGCCAATTTTCTTTTAAATCAAATAGAAACTAAAGGAAAGAAATTCTTAGAACAATATAAAAAAATCCGAGAAATATATGATGAATTTATCAAAAAAGATCGTAAATTCAAACAATTATTAGATAAGAAAGTTAAAAATGATCATTTTTCCTTGTAAATAAACAATTTTTCTCTTAAGATGTTTGTAAGAATTATAAAAACTTTAAGCTCTAACAAAAAATTTTATTATTTAAGTTTAAACTTCACTAGTTGATTTTTACTAGATGAGCTCAACTTTTACGAGTTGAGCCCAACTTTTATTAGTCAAGCTCAACTTTTACAAGTTGAGCCCAACTTTTATTAGTTAAGCTTAACTTTATTAGTTGAGCTCAACTTTATTAGTTGAGTTCAACTTTATTAGTTATATCATTATATTTTTTAAACAATATAAAAATATTTTTTTTTGTAATTTATATGAAAATTTTTCGCACAAATAGACGATTACAAAAAAAACAAAAAAGTAAAAAATAATATAATAAAAATAATAAAAAAGTAAAATAATAATAATAAAAATAATAAAAAAAGGAAAATATAAAATTAAATTGTGAATTATTTTACATTCTGACAGTCTTATTTGGAGTTGAATTTAATATTCATCATTTTGCACAGTCAGGAATTATAGGACATGCAATTTATATGTTCATTTATTTTGTTCTTTGTAATGCATTTTTAGTTTGGTGGTTGAATTTATACTTTTAAATAAAAATTTGTATTATTTTAAAAATATGGCTAAAAAATGAGTAAAGAATTGCAATAAAAGCTTTTATTCATTAATTGGTATATATCAAAGCTTTTATATTATAACTTAAAATAGGACTCTTAAAAACAAATTATGATGTTGAAATAAATTAAATTTCAATTAAAATTTTTTACTGTAAAAGCATTAGTGAAACAGAATTCTAATTTGAATCGATTGAATAATTTCAAAAGCTTTTTAAAATTTATGGTCAAATTTTTCTATTGTTATAGTTTAATATATTTAATTTGTGTGAA